GGTGTGTTCGAAACACTACTCACGGACGTATGCAATGTTGATGTGAACGTAAGTCAACTAAAGGATGTATGCAATGTTTCGACGGTGTTCGGTGTTCGACCTTGTGGTATTATGAGTACCTCAAAATAACTCTGTGAAGAAATAGCTGAAATGATTTTATTTATTCCTAAAAGAGACGTTGCTGCAAATCGCTGTTTCCATGACCAAGCGCTGAGGCCAGTTTATTTGATTGCAATTAAACATTGATTTATTTTTGAAATCATTATATATTTACGTTTACAAAGACACAATCGTACTTTTTGTGATTAATCGTGAGCGCTCGCCGCGTAAAAGACTATTATTTGCATGATTTTGTCTTAAACTACTAACCATTAGTAGCAGCATTGTGAAATGATGGAGTAAGTGCATTTGTAGACTTACCAATCGCCACCACATTTGGAGCTCCAGTTGTCAAATCTAAAAAGAAAGAAACAAATAAACACCCTTATTTAAGGAATCAAGAAATCAAGTAACCCAAATAATTAAAATAATACGTTATGCTAAGAAAATATTTTATCTCGGATTTAATTGCCAGTGTACTGAAGCATGGTAACAAACAAACCTTTAATCTCTACACTTGTTGCTTGTGTTGATGCTTGAACTCTGTCGGTAGTAGCTAAACCTTCTCTTTCAGTTTTCACATCTGATAATACAACATAGTTGAAATACATATTCCTGTAGATTAATTGCTGAAGTGTCAGGTTGATTACAATGAAAGAAATAAGCACATTTTCTCTGTTGAAGTAGTCCTGTCTGACGTCACCCTCATAACATCGAATGTCAATAAACCTGCTAGTTGCAAAACAATATTCTTTTAGTTAACCATGTGTGGTATTCGTAAGTTTAAGTCTCTATTCAACAAATTATATTTCAGTCTATACTGTTTTCATGAAATGTATTTTGATAATCCCTCGGTCGCCGGTGTGAAAGCACAAGGACATTTTCCGCAAAAGCACTGGATGTTGTTGAGGTAAGTACATTGAAAGGTGACGGACGTTCTGATTTTGACATTATCAAATTAGACGTGTCAGACAAAGTACCAACTTCTGTAAATTGTATGAAAAATATAGACACTGAATGTATCTGAAAGTTAATTTGATGTGACAGTAGTTGCTTTGATTGCACAACATTGTTTTAACGACTCTATCAAAGAGATATATTTAAATATCATTGAATTTAGAAATGAATTACTGACAGTGAAGCTGGTTTGGGCACATTCAAATATGCTTCATCGAATGAATTAAATACCAACAAGATCACTAAGCACCCAGTAATCGGTGCACAAATATTCAGCACTGAATATCTTCACTGAGTAATTGTTTTATTGGTGTGTGTTATTGTCTCACAATGCCAACAATGAAAACATATTTATTTCACTCATTATTTCCTTAATCAGTTTCTACTGCTATTTGTGCTACTACTTGCACGTTTCTTATATTATTTTATCTGTAAACGGTAGCCACTTCATTCATTACAGTTGTAGATTATTAGTAAATGATGGAATATGTAACCTGCGTTGTGAAATCGTAAAAAAATATTTCAATTGAACAATTTAACAAGTCTCTTTAACAAATTATATTTAAAATCGCATATTCTAGCAGGCGGGAGAATCATATATGAGATCACAAATAATTAAAAAAAAAGAAACTTTTAATGCAAATTATAGGTTTGTCCTGTCAACAATCCTAGCTGTAATCATGGCTACACTTTTACAGTTTTAACATCTAAAAATCATACTTCAGCTAGGCCCTTGCTCATTAGTCAAATCAAATGCTTACACTGTTGTGTAAGGATATAGTGTTTGTTTTGCACTTTTTAATCAAAGTGATATTAAGGTTTTATTTTGTATAGAAACTCTAGGTATATCTAATTATTTGGAAATTATGGGTAATACACGCAGAATAATTAGTTACGCTCCGCTTGTCCATGCTGCAGCTCATCACCTTCCAAAGGCAATGCGGTGTGGTGGGCGGAAGTTGCAATTAAATGGAGTAACTAATCAAGATTGTGTCTAGCGTAAGCAGACTAGTTACTATATTACATCACTTCAATTACTACTACTAATGTTTAAGTTAAATATTTGTCTAACTTATTCAAAGTGAGTTCGAATATTAATCAGAAGCGAAGCGCTGTCCAAATTAAGACACATTTTTGAATCAAACATTTCATACAAAATAATGAGGAATACAAGAGATATGTTATGTCTACACAAATGTCTACACAACTACTGATTTGAAGTGAACAGACATGAATAATGAAGTAAATAAAACTATAATATTTCTACATTTGTTGAAGACTGATATATGGGGCATAATTATTCGTAGTTGTCACATGGTAAAACAAGCAAACCAGCTGGAGCATATGGAGAACGGAACACAGTATCCGGTGTTGTAAAAAAGGAAACAGTTACTGTAGCAACACAGTGGCTCTGATATAACCAGATGATGGACTGGAGAGGACTGGAGCCTAGTGATTGCTTGCTCTTCTGATAAAACTCGATGCTGATCTGAGCCTGTAGATGTCGAAATGCAACATCTCTGGTGATGCAGACATGTTCGACCGGGGATCTAACAGTAGTTCCAAGTTGTCGGATAGCCTCATCAGCTGGTCTGTTAGTAGTGACTTGAGGGATGTCCAATCCTGATTCGACCGGGGATCTGACAGTAGTTCCAAGTCATCGGATATCCTCTTCGACTCGTCTATTAGTGGTGACTTGAGGGATGTCCATCCTGATTCGACCGGGGATCTGACAATAGTTCCAAGTCGCCGGATATCCTCTTCGACTCGTTTATTAGTAGTGACTTGAGGGATGTCTGTCACACGCAACGTAATATTACCGTAATTGGTATAGTACAGGTGTGACGGTTCAAATACCAAAATAGCAACAGTAACAGAAAGACTTCCCTGACGGCGATGATAACATACGAACACGGAGCCAACAGATGAGGTTTCAACTGGTATTGGTATTACTATATTCTGCAAAATCAAGTACAATAACGCGGTAAAACTCCACTACTCCAATAACTAGATACTTAAACTCCAATACAATTCAACGAGATCTCCGATCTGAACTCAGTGCTGAACAACTCCCCTATATATACCCCCGCTGTCTGTAAATAAACCATTACATCAGCATACATAATGAGTCTGGAACTTACTGCCAATTTCTAGAATGTTCCATTACCTTCTATTGCCTCCTACAGTGTTCTATTACCTATTCAACCATTTTCTAAAAAAAAATCTAGAATATTCCACCCAGACACAGTAAGATTCTCGAACATTCTCAGTAACACGGAAGTGATAAATAAGTCGTATGCGACATGCCTCCCCTCTCAAAAATATTACAACATATAATATTACATGACTAGCAACGACGTCAATAATACGAATATGATAACAATTTCAAATAAAACAACAATACAATATATCAAATCGAACTG